CCTCCTAATTTCATTGTAGGATTTAACAATGCAGCAACACCAAAAATAGGGGGGATAGGGAAAAAATATTTTTTAAACTTAGCTTTCATAGAATTAATAGCTTCTTGATAAATTACTCCACCCTCTGAAAATTGAGTAAATAAATCTACAAGTGCTGCAATATAAACTAAACAGTTAGAAATAGTAGGATAATATTGGCCAGATAATTCATTTGTAGCAATATGAAATTGTTCTAAAAAGTCTACAAGCATTTTAACATTACTCCAATCTTGATTTGTAAGGTGCTCATCATCATCACCATCACCTACACGAGCATTATTCGTTACACTTCTTGGGTTCCTATATTCATATGCAATAACTAAACTTTCATACATGTAATTCCATCTAGTTGGACAAGCTTTAAGAACCTTTCTTTCTCTAAGGCCAAATTCATCACATTTTTTAAAATAGTCTCTAAGTCAACTTCTACGGTTTGAATAAAAAAGCCAATTAGGAGCCATTTTAACCTTTTCAACTTCTACATTTAAAACTTTCATACCAGCACCGACGATTAAATGTTAAATATGACAAATACATCTAACATGAAAAATATTACTAAATGCAGGATTTAGTGTAGTTGTAAGCAAGCCTATAGCCTTAGTGTTACTAGAAGCATTATCCATTGAAACCGACATAATTTTATTTCTAATGCAAAAATATCTACAAATATCTGCAACTGTGTTAGCAATAAACTTACCTGTGTGGCGTGAATTAATTATTCTATAAGCAATAATGCGCTTTTGCATTATCCACTCCTCATCTATCCAATGACTTGTAACAGTTAGATAATCACAGTCATTACCACTTCTACCAATATCAGTAGTAATAGCAATGCGACAATCTATATGAGTAAATAAATAGCGCAAATATTGTTCATATTCATGTTTATATTTATAAATATCGCTCTTTACGGTTGCGCGAGGTCATCCTTTATAAGTAGGATTAAAAACTCTTCTAATATAATGCACAAAATGAGGGTTAGAAGGAAAACTATAGGGTAAGCACATAACAGTAACCATTTTTGTCAATTCTTCACGATTTTTATTTGGATGATAATATAAAATGTCATCGGTAACAATGTTAATTCCCGGTTGAACTAGATTTGAACCTGTACTAGGGTTAACCGTAGTATCTACACTTGTCCCCTCTTGCGCAGTTTTCATTTGTAAAAATCTAGCTTTATCTCTAGGGTGTGTCTTTATGTGTCTAGTCAAACTATCCGTACCGCTACGGTCTCCAGTAAATTTATGAACTAGTTGAAACCCACAAGTTTTACACTTAGCCTTATTTTGTTCTCTTAGCTGAGTAAAAAAGTGCCAAACAAGAGATGTTTCAGGACGTTTAGCAGGTTGTCTATTAAAAGTAGGGGTTACTACAGGAGGGTCAGGCGGGGCATCATTTGGGTTATTAACAAGACTAGTAGGTGTATCATCTAAATCCGGTTGCGTTTCATCTAAATCATCATTTTCCTCATCATTTTCAAAGATAGTTTCATTAGGATAAAAAGCATTCATAACTTCTTCATTTAATTGTTGACCTGGTACAACATCATGGCAAGATTGACTATCGGAAAATTGAAAACAAGAGTTATCACTATCAAGAATAATAGGTGGAGGAAGACGGGTAACAGGTCTGGGTCGGGGAGCCGGGGGAAGAGTAGTAGCTTGGCTACTAGATTCACCAATTTTAGATTTTCCTTACCCATACCCCCAAAAAGTTTTTTCAAAGAAATTGCCATATTAATTATAATTATACTAAATAAAACTAACAAAACTATAATATTAAAACTTAAGAGTTCGAATAAGTTTACCTAATTGATGAACAACTTCTTGAAAATTGAATATCGTTGAAGACTTGAATACTTCAATTCACCAACTTCACAATTTTTCACGAAATTGCAATAATAAAGTAAGCAATTATAGAAGAAAATTAGAGAGAGATTGATGAATTTGTGAGTAAAAATGAAAGAATGGGGGGTATTTCAGTTAAAGAGGGACACTTTAGTTTAGTCTAAGATATTCTTTTCCTGTTTTTTGGGAATTCAGGCATATAGCATCTTCATGAACATACCTTCTTGTCGGGGTGGCCATATATGTTTGATGATCTCAAGTCCACCTTCTGTTAAGAACAAGATGCCATGCTCAGAGAAATATATAGAGGTTATGAGAAACTAGTAGGCTACTAGGCATAGCTCCTATGAAGAAAAAACGTCTTTTAATCTATCTCTAGAAAATTGAAGTGGTAATTGTGACAACATGACCAAACTCTTCACTAAATTCATGTTTTTTTTTTTTAATACTTTAGCTACCACACTAAAATCAAGCAAAGTTTCGAACAACCTTTCCTTTCTTTACAGTAAAACTAACGCAAACAAACTAGAAGAGAGAGAGAGAGAAATGGCAATAAAAGTAGAGAGGAAAGCCATACATTGAGCATCTCATACACCATTTGAACAAAATCTTGAGAGAAGCTTCCCTTCTTATCCCCTATGATCTCCAGTACTCCAGCGCGTTCATTACTAAGAGGCTCAAAAACCGGTACAGCCAAATAGTTCCCTAAACCAGCAATTAAAGCCGAGCCATGCTGAGGAAAATCAGCAACTGAATAGCGCGAAATATCCGGACTCATTTTAGGCAAACCATGTTTGAACACGCGTTCGGTAGGACCAAGTCGATACTCATTCTCAGAACAATCAGTTACAATAGGAATTCTAAATTTCAGACACTCTGACCTATAAAAACAAAGTCCTTCATGGAGTTTCGTAAGACCAAAAGGTAGGTCACAAGTTGTTAGAAAAACCTGATCTTTAGTAGTTACAGGTGCCCAAAATTGAACCAACCAGCATCCGAAGTTGTCAGAAATGTAGGCATTCTTGAGAGCAGATGCGATTTTCTCCTTAATGCTATCATGATAGATAGTAGTATCAGCAGCTGTAAAAAGGTTGTTCATGATATTAGACACTTGACTCGTTCAGAAAGATAGATATGTAGCAATCATATCATATTGAAAAACTGGTTAAGGTTCTCAATCGAAACTCCTTAGATGTTCAACATGAGAGGATCGAAATAATCAGGTGTCATTCAGAAGCTAATTAAGCAAATCTTGAACGACGATAAATCAGACAACAAAAGAGAAATATACCAAAAGAGACACAAACTTTTAACGTAGTTCGGTCAACTGACCTACGTCCACGGCGGAGATGAGCAATCCACTATATCAAAGAGAGTACAAAATATCAAGAGAACAACCTCACAAAGAGACAAATACAAGTGACAATGTAACACTTATCCCAAAAAGTTCTCCCCCTAAACAAGACTCTCAAACCCCTTATGGCTACATTGTGGATGCTACTAAATGAGAAGAAGGATCCTCAATTTATAGAAGTCCAAACCTTTTCCTCCGGGAAAAGGGACTAGCCAAATATGGGAGATTTAAAGTTTCTTTCTACGGTAAGAAAAACCCTATTACGGTAAATATGTTGCCCTTTCCTTTGAGAGATAGGAAAAGCAAATATGGTAAGAAAATCAGGACAAATACCTAACACAACAATGTAAAGCGGAAGCG